AGTAATGAACTCTCAAAAAGAGAAACTAAAACCCATTTACCATTGCAGCAAAAAAATTAAGATACTTAGGAATAAAGTTAACTAAGGAGGCAAAAGACCTGTACTCAGAAAACTATAGGACCTTGGAAAAAGAGATAGAAGGAGATATACAAGAGTGGAAAAACATACCATGTTCATGGATTGGTAGAATCAACAGCCTGAAAATGTCCATACTACTCAAGACAACCTACAGATTCAATGCAATCCCTATTAAAATACCAACAGCATATTTCACGATTCTAGAACAAATACTCCAAAAACTTATGTGGAACCAAAAAAAAGACCCCGAATAGCTGTAGCAATCTAAGAAAGAAGAACAAAGTTGGAGGAATCACAATACCAGATCTCAAGTTACGCTACAAAGCCACTGTACTCAAGACAGCCTGGTATTGGCATGAGAATAGGCATATAGATCAGTGGAACAGAGACCCCAGAAATCAACCCAAGTCATTATGCTCAATTAACATTTGACAAAGGAGGCAAGAGCATACAATGGAGTCAAGACAGCCTCCTGCACGCCCCCCCCACCCCCCACTGGGGATTGAACCAGCAACCTGGGCATATGCCCTGACCGGGAATTGAACCGGTGACCTTTTAGTTCCTGGGTCAATGCTCAACCGCTGAGCCATACGGGCCGAGCTGTTGTGAGGCTTTTATTGCATTGATGAGGTTATCTAAATGATAATTATCCTTCCAGCCTTCTTCACTGATAACTTCAGTTACCATGTGCAGAATACCTTGTAAAAATTGCTATCTCACCTGGACGGAATTTCCCAGGCCCCACTTGGCGAAAGCGTTCTCATTTACAGAGGAACCTGGACTTACAGGAAAGCAAACACCAGGGCTGTGGCCAGGCTCCTGTGATAAGAATTCCTTAGGCTCTGCCTCTCTCCCCACCCCTCAGTGTCCCTCACTCTTTGTTTTGAAAATATATTTTTATTGATGTCAGAGAGGAAGGGAGAGGGAGAGACATCCATGATAGAAACATCCATGATGAGAGAGAATCATGGATCGGCTGCCTCCTGCACACCCCACACCGGGGATGGAGCCCGCAGCCCCAGCCCAGGCCTGTGCCCTGACCGGGAATTGAACCGCGACCTCCTGGTTCCTAGGTCGAAACTCAACCACTGAGCCACACCGGCCGGGCTCCCTTACTCTCTGGATCCGTGTTTCTGAATTTGCCAGATTTGTAAGAAGGGTTGTGCAGAGTGAAGCGGGGCCCCTGGTGGTGTGTGAGTTGCAGGGGACTGACTGGGGGGCCGGTGGGCCGGTGCGTGAGCCCCGGTCCCCACGAAGGGTGTCGCGAAGGGTGGCCCGCGGGCGGAGGGGCAGCGAAGGGAGTGTGCCCCATCCTGGCCGGGGGTGTGCCGGCTGCTGCATTAAATGCCTGGCCTGCCCGTTTCAGGTCCCACCCGGAAGATGCCCCCCAGCGCCAGCGCCCTGGACTTCTTCCAGCTCTTCGTCCCCGACAACATGCTCAAGAACATGGTGGTGCAGACGAACCTGTACGCCAGAAAGTTCCAGGAGCGCTTCGGCAGCGACGGCGCCTGGGCGGACGTGACGCTGGCCGAGATGAAGGCCTTCCTGGGCTACATGGTCTCCACCAGCATCTCCCACTGCGAGTCGGTCCTCAGCATCTGGAGCGGCGGTTTCTATAGCAACCGGGGCCTGGCGGGGGGCATGAGCCAGGCCCGCTTCGAGAAGATCCTCAAGTACTTCCACGTGGTGGCCTTCCGCTCCAGCCAGGCGGCGCACGGCCTCTACAAGGTCCAGCCCTTCCTCGACGCCCTGCAGAGCAGCTTCGACGTGGCCTTCAGGCCCTCCCAGACCCAGGTGAGGTGGGCCCAGCCGGCCCTCGGCCCTGGGGTCCGCAGAAGCTGGAGGCCGAGCTGACCTGGGGCCTCCTCCCTCCCTGCCCCGACTCTGAGGTCACTTCAAGGTCATCCACGTAAGACCCAGGGGACGATCAGAACTCGGGGTTTTGCTCTGAGATGCACTTTTCCTCCTCTTTTCTCCCCATCCTCCCTCTCCTGTATTTTATTTTTTAAAAATATGTTTTTATTGATGTCAGAGAGGAAGGGAGAGAGAGAGAGAGAAAGAGAGAGAGAGAGAGAGAAACATCACTGATGAGAGAGAATCATAGATCAGCTGTCTCCTGCACGCCCCACACTGGGGATCGAGCCCACACCGCGCAAACATGGCAGAGGGAGAGAGAGAGAGAAACATCAATGATGAGAGAATCATGGACTGGCTGCCTCCTGCACGCCCCACACTGCGGATCGAGCCCACAACCCGGGCAAGTGCCCCGACCGGGAACCCAACCGTGACCTCCTGGTTCACAGGTCGACGCTCAACCACTGAGCCACGCCGGCCGGGTGGAATTCATTTTAATGCAGACAGAAAAGAGGGAAAACAGTGAGGACAAAAATTCTCGCTGGCCCCTCCATGCTGGTGAGGTGTGTGGTTTGCGCTGATGACACGGTGATGCAGGTGAATGGAGGCGTTGGCTCTGGGAGGAGGAGTGGAGAGGGCAGCAGAAGCGGTCTCTGTGCGTCCCTCCCCACTCTGCTCCATTCCCCTCCGAGGCAGGCACTCACAGTTTTGCTAGAGTGGTTCCAAATGGGGCTCGAATGTTTGATGAGCTGCACAGAGCCGGTGAGTTCAGGATGCAGTTGGGAGGCACCTCCTCCAGGCAGCTGGCCAGGCTTGTCCCCGCCTCTAACCACAGAAAAGCCGAGGGCGCAGAACCGACAGGCCCTGTGGTTTTTAATGGCATCCAGGCAGCATTAAGGAGAGATGGAGGGTATGGTGAGAATTCTCCTCCACTCTGCCCTTGGCCCAGTGCGTCCTGACTCCACCCGGAGCCTGTTAGGGAAGCAAAAACTCGGGCCCTGCCCCAAATTTGCTGAATCAGACCTGCACGTTAGCAGCCCCCCAACCGTGACCAGTTTGTCCGTTCAAGCTTGAAAGGCACCGGCAGAAAGCAGAAAGCAGGGGTCGGTCAGTACACTCTCCCTGTCTGTGGCCAGAGGCATCAGTAAGGCCGCACTCTCCAATGCGTGAGTGAGTGAGTGAGTGAGCGAGCGAGGCAGGTTCCAATAAAACTTTATTTACAACAGGCAGGGAGGGGGCCAGATGCAGTCTGGCCCCTGATCCAGGGCATCTTGTGGAGTTCCTGGGATGCTGTTAGTTCCCACACTCCATTTCAGTGAGACAATTCAGAATTCAGCCTGAATCAGGACTGAGGAGGGAAGGGTGGCCGAGTGCTAGGATTACCCCAAAGTCTCCCCAAAAAGCTTTGACTCAAAGAAGCAAAACTTGGACCACCCCTCGGAGCCTGTTTTTATAATTCCATTTCTTTTTACTCTGGTGTCTTGTCACTGAAAATGTCCTACCACCATGTTACCAAGCAGCTAAAACAAGGTGACATATTTAAAGTCGCCTCGGGACCCCAGGTCAGAAAGCACTGGGCGCCTTGAGGGAGGGCGGAGAGCCCGGGCTGGGTCAGAGGGAACTGGGGCCTTTTAGGAGCCGGGAATGAGCGGGCGTAGGCCAGCCCGAGACCCGTCCTGATGCCTAAACAATTCGTGTGTTTTTCTTGGTCTCCCCCAGGGCAGAGGTCAGATCCTTATGTTTGAGTTCAGCCCTGCCTGGTTTGGCTCAGTGGATAGGGCATCAGCCTGCAGACTGAAGGGTCCCGGGTTCGATTCTGGTCAAAGCCACTTACCCGGGTCCTCCTCAGGGCTCGTGCAGGAGGCAACCAATCCATGTCTCTCTATCTCCAATGGAAAAATAGTCTCGGGTGAGGATTAAAAGAAAAAGTTCAAGTTCAATGTAAGTCCATTTTGAGCCAGTGCGGGGAAGGACAGCCGAGCAGCGGAAGCCCTCACTTCTGTCCTTCCCTCTCTCTTCCACTCTCTGTAAAAACCAGTGGAAAAATATTCTCGGGTGAGGATTAAAAAAAGTAAAACAAAAGGTTCAAGTTCAATGTAAGTCCGTTTTGAGCCAGTGAGGGGAAGGACAGCCAAGCAGCGGAAGCCCGCATCTGCGAGTGGAAAGGTCGCCCATGGAAAGGAGTGTGCCCCCACC